TTACAAATTATTTACAATTTATCAATTCTTATAATGGAACTTTTTATGAATTTCATTTTTTTCCATCACCTCGTAACCTATCAGTTTTTATCTATATTTTTATTTATCTATGCTGTTAATTCGTTGGTCAATTATAAGCACTTTACGTGATGCAGAATATTAATAAACATCTCAAAGAGATCTATCTTCTCAAACGTTTATAAAATAAATGTAACATGCAATACATTCTTTTTTAAATTTACGAATTTAAAGATCATTCAATCCTTTTTTTATAATTTTCGTGTCATTTCCTTCCAACATTATCGATTTAATATAATAATTTAGAATTAGATCAAAATATATAAATATATAGAATTATAATCAAAATATAAAATATAAAATAAATATATCTATTTTTGTATATTACAATGTTATGTATGCTTTCGTATCAAAAATTTTGTAAATAAACATCTATAGATCATTTAAAGATTAAATTATTTCTTTTTTTAAATAAGATAATATATTTTTTATATATTGTTAAAAATATCATTTTAGAAAATATTTAATCATTTTATGTAATTAGATTTCCATATTTCTTATATATTTCTGAATTTTTTAGAATTAAAAAAAATTCAGAACTAAGTAAAGATGGAAGTTTTTATTGAAGTTATTAAGTATATAAAAAATAAAAATATAAGATATCTTTACAATTAATTGAAAAAAACAATAATTCAAAATCTAAAAAAAATAGTTACAATAAATAAATATAGAAACAAATGCTAAGTAAGTTTTCATAAGTGAAATTTTATAAAGGTCGAAATTTTGATAAAAAATTTTTTATTTTATTATTTTATTTAATTTTAATTATAAAAAGTATTGTTTTACACTTATCTTTTGTATATTTAGCTTTTTAAGAGTCAGCAACTTCAAAAAAAGATACAAAAAATATAATATATAGAGATATAAATTTATATGTGTAATTAAATTTGCATTAGATGAAATAAGATGAAAATAGAGTGATACTGTTCTGTCTTCGATATCACAATCTATTTCCGTCTCATTTCATCTAATGTAAACTTGCTTATAATTTAATTTAAGTCCTAAACAACATTTTTATATATCAATTTTTATTGACTTTTAAAAATGTTTTAAGAATATATTACCTATTTATACTCTATCTTTAACATATAAAAATTGATTACAATAAATTCTATCAAAATTTTTAATTAATATATTAGATAAAAAAAAATTAATTAGATATTGGATTCTGGAGTCTTGAGCGCATAAATTTTACAAATCAAATATAGACCAAGAAAGCAAATAGTAGAAGAAAGATAGAAATAAAATAAAAATTCTAATCAATTAGTATCATCTCTAGAGCGCTGTAGATAAATATAATGGAAAAAGAGCAAAAAATAGAATGAAGATATTGTAAGAATTAACCATTTGTGCCATCTCTTGAGTTTTAAACACATTTTCAAAAATAAGATAAGATAATAGAATTGAGAATGTTCAATATCATCTCACAACTGTTTTTAAAAAAATATTTCTGACATTCAATAAATGGAGTTTTTGAAGCAATGATACCAGATCAAAGAATTTAATTGTTATCGATAATAGTATGGTAACAAGTTTGAACATTTTTCAAAAAGATGGTGCTACTAATTAAATACTAAAAATTAAAATTGCGAATTCTTCCAAGTTATGCATATATGTATTCTTGATAATATCTGGCAATTTTTAGCTGAAATTGATATTCTCAGTTTGAGTTGGTCCAAATAATGATGATATTGCTTTTTTTGTTGATCCAAAATTTGACAATTATGTGAAGGATACTATATAATTTCTATTTTATTAATGAATAAAAAATTGATTTTAATTTTAAAATAATTCAATAAACAATATAAAAATAAAAATGTATCTATAAAATAAACAAGTTAGAAATTATTTTATATATACGAATTGATATATTTACATACAATATTAAATATTACATATAGTAATAATATTTTAGATAAATTAAAAGAAAATTAATCATATAATCAAGAAACAATTATTAATAAGATGATTACATGTAAGTAGTGATTATAAAATAATAATATAATCATGAAAATTTTATTTGTTTATTTTGAATCTTTCCAAAATTATTTTTGTAATAATTATTATAAAAATAATTTTTTCATTTTTTTATTTTTGTTTTAATTAACAAAGAAATTTATTGACCTTGGCCTAAGTAATGAAACAGAAATTATCATCGTGTCTTTATTGAAATATAAATCAATTATATTGATCGCTTGAATTAATGTTTCTGAAAGTTACTGTGTTCAAAATGATTTATATTTTAATATAATTAAAATTTTTTAATGATAGTACATAATATAAAAAAATACTGCTAATATTACACAGATCTCGATTTCTCTTATAAAGTGTGACGAAGGCCGAAACAGCTGTTCTGCTGTTGGATGGTTAATTTGACAGGGAAGTCGAAGGATAAAACGAATGTTTTATCTAGATTTAACCCTCTTAAATGATATCGCGAATATTCCGTGGCGAAAATGAAAATGTCGCAGTCAAGAGAAAACGGCAAATCGACACCCTGAAAATTTTTAACGACAAGTAAGGAAATTTTCGATTGTAACCTCTCTTCTTTAACCTTATTTGCATTAATTTATTTATTTATTTTCATATATTTTTTATACAAACATAAGATGCAGCATTTTATGGTTTGAAAGTTTGAAATATTTGAAAGAAAAAAAATTGTAATATATGGATTATTTAACATAAATCAAAGTCTTCATTTACATTCTACGCGTCCATCATATGAGAAACTGTCATTATTATGATATACATCTAATTTAATTTTTAGGGTTTCTCTTTTGACCTAAAAACAAATATTTTATAATTTTCTATATTATTCAATCAACTTTATTAAATCAACTTTGATATTATATAATTTTTTCATATTTGTTAAACTATTATGTGTTATAGTGTAGTAGAATTAAGAGAAGATGTGGAATATCAAGTACAATTCAATGCTAGGGAAAGGAGAATGGCTATTATGGTCTCTTTGTCACCGGAGTTTCCGTTGGAAAAACCAGTGCTCAGGGTCTCTCCACCCATAAACCATCCTTGGTGTAATGAACATAGTGAAATCACAAGCGCACCAGGATTACTTAATGTAAGATTTTTTATATTCATATAATTTATTTATTTAGAATCATAAAGATCATTTGGTTTTACATATCAGTTTACAGTGCACAGTGATCTTGGTCGTGTTGTTCAAGCTATCATTAGAGAATTTAGTAAAAATCCTCCACAACTGTTGGAAGACATTTCTCCTGGATCTGTGAAATCTCATAGAGGTATACATGTTTTTGAAATAAGTGCAATAATACAAAAGATATAATACAAAATATTTATTGTTTTTTTATATTATAAATTACAGATTCACAAGAAAGAAATTCTCCATCTTATTCCTTACAACAGTATCCAGAAATTCCACCAACATCATACAATTCTTATTATACTACTCAATATCCACAGTATTCATCTGCCAGTGCAAATACTTGTATTTATAATTACAATCATACGAATTCGAGTACCGCGTATGTGACGGACAGTCATACAAAATTCGGTTCTCCATCGCAACATTCAGCATATATTGCGTGTTCAAGAAGTGGTACAGATGCATCAGGTTATAATTCAAATCAATCTGGAACATATTTGAATTCGCATTACGTGAACGCGAATTATCATCAACAATCATTGCCGAATCAAACACAAACTAAGCTACGGCAGAGTGTAGTGTTTCCAGAATTAAATAATTTAACTAACGAGGAATTGAGACAATTAAATGAAGATAACGATAAATTAGATGAATTCCTGGATAAACATTCCGATTTAAAAGACATTAACACGGCTATCGATGATGCAATAGATTGGGTCCAAAAAACTGCCGGTAAGATAACTTCCGATAAAGCGTTATGATATTATTTTGTTCTTTCGGAAATTTATTTTTTCTCTCTATTTTTCAGAAGCTAATATAGCCAAAGAACCCGAGCTTAAAGAATTGCAGTCTGACGTAGCAAATAAAATTCAGATCGTTACTGCACTAAAAGCTAGATATGATCAACTAATACAACGATACAACAAATTATCTGAAGCATTTATTCCAGATCACATAAAAGAATGTTTGAGAAAAGCGGCAGATGAAAGTCACGAGGAAAGTGAACGAATTGCTGAGAATTTTTTAAATAGGAAAATAGATGTTGAACGTTTTCTCAGCACTTATATCGAATGTAGGAAGTTGGGTCAAGCAAGAAGAACTAAAGAGGAAAAATTAGCACACCAGTTAAATGAATTGAAACGAGCGGGTTATTAAAATCATGTATAATCTTATCTTTTTCTATGAATTGAACAAACTGTAAATAATGCCTAGTTCAATTAAACTGTGAATTTGAATAGCATTCGTGTTTATCAAATATCTATGCGGTAAAAATACTCGCTGGCAGAGAACATTTTTATAACGTATTATTACGTTGCAGTTTACATCATTGCTTGTTATACATTAAAATTAATTAGATTGTGTGGCATTCTGGATGAAAAATTTAAGTTATATAATATGTGTGAATTAATTGAAATTATCTATGGCAAGAAATTAATTAAATATATGTATAAAAAAAAATATTAAAAACCAAAGGCGCTGGTTCAAGCCGATAAACGACTATATATAATTTGAATTAATTTAAAATGTACTTATTTTTTCATACAGAAAGTGTTTTTTAAATGAATTTAAGTATATTGCTATTGCGTTGTGACATATTAAAATTGCATTAATATCTCTCTGACAAGGAACTTTTTTTTACTATGTAAATAAATGTGCGAAAATATGATTAAATCAATTTTTCAAAGTTTGCTATTTAGTGATGTTAATCTGATTACTTATCCTACGAATGTTCCTAATTGTAACATATTAATAATTAATAATTGTATAGATACGCGAAGTCTGAAATGAGAAAATGTTTTTTTTTTAAACAGTGTGGCGTGTGTAATTTTTTAGGATATGTTCATAATTATTATCTAAAAGCATAGCTAAATTCTGGTAAAAAGAAACAAGCTTTGCGTTGAATGATACAAATTAAAATGTAAATATATTTGTGTAGAAATCGTAAGTTGTAAATAATATAAAAAACAAGTTTTTAATAATAATAAAATAAAAAGGGACGTAAAAATATGACCTGATTTACTAGTGATTGTTATGTGGTATTTTCAAAATGATAAATACAAATGCAAGTTAACATTTTATTTCTATACAAACACTTACGATTACTAACTGTTTCACACTTATATTTTTTCTATATTAAAAAAATAACATCGATATAAGAATCTTATTTTTTCGAAATACATATTTCGTTCACGTTGGCAGTTTAAGTTTTCACCAGGATTGGGCTTTATCGAAGTAAATTTTTATTTAAATAAAATTTTATTTTATTTTTTATTTATTATACGTTACTTTATTTTAAATAATATTATTTTAATAATAATGTATTTTAAAATTAAATTATTTCTTTATTTGTTATTTTATTTGATATCTGATAGATATTTGTTATTTGATTTTATGATGAAAATATAAAAATATTTTTTTTGCTATGAATGCTTTTTTTATGCGAAATTTCTATTCCTCAAAATCATTTTCTTTTTATCTAAATTCTACTTATATTTTTTTCTATTATTATTTAAAATAACAAATCATTTAAAAATAATTTATTTCTCAAATAAGATTTTACAATTTATTTGCAAACATTTTTATTTAAAATGCATTTTATTATATTTTTTATTTTATTTAAATTATATTATAAGTATTTGTTCTTTTTATTTTAAATAAAAAATGCCCAATCCTTATATTAGTTCTCAACTAATATAATTTCTCATAGATTTTATTTATATGAGAACACAGTTGAATATTTTTGTACAGTTTTTTTCTTTCTTTTTTTATTATCTATAAGAATGCCCTATGATTCGACATACTGATTAAGGATCAACAAATGAAATCATAATGTATCGAGTACCACTAGTAACTCGAAGACCTTCGTGATAATGAGTCAGTCGTCCAGGATGCATCAACATCCAGCCTGGTTTTGTATCCGTAACGGAACAGTTATAACGGATAAATCGACAACCTCCACCTTCATAGTCCACTCCCACTCTATTTAAAGCGATATTGATAGTATAAGTTGAACTATCATGATGTGGCTTCAATGACGGTTGCTCATCTGGTCGATATCTTACAACGAAATTCATGAGGGCACGAGGTGGCTGGAAATTTAAGTTATCTATATATATAATAATATTAATTTTTCATTAACTAATACATTACAAAACAGTACAGAATAATTTTTTTTTAATTTTTGATATTCAATTATAAAATATTCTGTAACTGTTTTAACTAATGTTTAATATTTATATATATATAGCAATCTAATGTAATTTTATAAAAATCTACAATGGACCCAAATACGAAGCCTATCACCAGAAAATGATGCAATCAATTTGTGGAACAGTGTTTTATAATCTGAAATTTGTGCAACGGTGCAATTATTTACGGATGAAAATATCCAATAATCTATGCCCATTTCATAATCCTGTTTTTAATAACAATCTTACACTAGTACTGTAGCCTATAAAGACCTGCTCTTGCAAAGGGCTGACATATTGGTCAAGAAAATTTAACCAAGATTCATGGAGACCGACTTGTTTCATATGAATATCTCGTGTCGGTACAGCTTCGTATCCACCTTCGATACGTGGGTCCTAGAAATAATTGATATGCATTAAAAGATAAATATCTTACATCATGATAATATCCGGTGAACACGAGTTCCTGAAGAGGTCTAACGTACTCCTTTAAAAAATATAGCCATTGTGGCTCATTTTTTATTTGATTCATATGAATATCACGGGTTGGTACATTTTCATAACCACCCGTTAATCTCGGATCCTGTTAAAAAAATTACTTTATTATTTTGACTAGTAATAAAATAAATATTTACCCTGTGAATTATAAATAATATCTGAAAAATGTAATTATTCTATTATATATAGTATATATGAAATATATCATAATTGTATATTATAAATAATAGTATAAGATTATAAAGATTCATAAATTATCATACATGATTTGATCCATCTGACCATTTTCCGAAATTTTCCATAACATCTATCAATTCTTTCGTAAACCTTTCGTTCACTATGGGGAACCAATACACATCTGGGCAAGGCTATAGTAAGAATTCAATCGAATTAAATAATGAAATGATTCACAAAGTTATTAAATATTCAAAATTTATGTAAAATTAATGCCTTTACCTGCAATGGAGTTTGATTCGAGTTAAAATTTTCCGAATAATTTTCGTGGATGTATCTTCTTTCCCAATCCAATTTATTGTCAATAATTTGATATAAATCTGGATGGGTCATTGTGATATCGTAACTGTCTGGATTAACCAAATGTCCAAAATCAAGTCTATTACTGACATACATGAAGATGGATCGTTCTCTGTTAGCATAAGCAAAAGCCATATCCGTATCCAAATCGCCTTCTGAATAGGATGGCCGAGTTTCTTTGTTGCTTATTAGCGTTGAATTAATTAAGTAACAATTACTAATAAATGGTACATTCCACAATCCTCTGAAATATCATAATCAACATCATTTTATTATTAAGTTTTTTAATTTAATTAATTTAATTTTAATTAATTTTTTAAAAAAGAACTACAATAATTATTGGTGATAAATAAAGAATTATTGATTTCGAATAAACTAACAATATATAATAATAATTGATTTAACAAATAAAAAGCATACATGAGTATCTGATCGGTTTGTTATTCTCAGGATCTCAAGGCCAATGAAGCAAACGCAAAGTCATAGGAGGGATCAGTACATTTGTTTGTTAGTCCCGCGAGACAATATTTCGTAAGGCAATCATTGTGATGTCGTGATTGGCCAATGAATACACTGGCAATGGGTTATGCATAATTATCCAATTGAGATTCATAACTCTGTCACCAATGACGACATGCCCATCGGGCATAGTTCATTCATATTTTAGGCTGTAGGGACAGGCGAAGCCCAAACATTCGGCTTAACCACTTGTCAAAAGTAGAGTTTCCGAGTAGTCGGTAAGCACTTGAACATTGTGTCTCTTTTATCAGCAACAATTGCTTTTCTAGTGAAGTTCAATTGTTATAGCAAAGCAACTATTTCTATCTCATAACTATAAACGTATAATGATTTGCAAAAGTTAATATTAAAACAAGTGTTACAATTCCAAGTTAGAGTTGCTTAAAAACTAAGATACGCTTAAGCGTATCCCCCATACCTCCTAAAGTGTATGTACACTGTTTAGAAAAATTTTTTCAAACAGATTGAGCATCTTTGTAATCGTAGAACAAATGAAGAGATATCAATTTTTGTGCCTGTTCTTTTTTATCGCATTGTTAGTAAACACAGACGCAGCAAAAGGTGGTGGAGGTAGAGGAGGTGGCAGACGCAGTGGCGGAAGAGTTTACAAGTCTCGGATGCCTATTCTGATTCCTCACAGAAATCCTGCCAGTGCTAATTACTACGAAAATAAAGACGTATGTCAAAAGATATTTGTTAATGATAGAGATATGGATATTACGATTGTTTACTTTTAGGGGGCGAGAATAGTGAAAGCTTCACACTTTGAACTGGATTACATGTTAGGGAGGAAGATTACATTTTTCTGCATGGCCACTGGATTTCCAAGACCTGAGATCACCTGGTTGAAAGATGGAATTGAATTGTATCATCATAAATTTTTCCAGGTATTTTTATTAGAGACAGGAATTTTTGTATAAGTGAAATTTAGAAAATTGCAATGTTTATATATATGCATACTTTATAGGTGCATGAATGGCCTGTTGGAAATGACACATTAAAATCAAAGATGGAAATTGATCCTGCTACGCAAAAAGATGCAGGGTATTATGAATGTCAAGCAGATAATCAGTATGCGGTTGATCGTCGTGGCTTTAGAACGGATTATGTTATGATTTCTTATTAAACAAAAAAAGTACTTCTTTTATAATTGCAACACTATGTCAAACAATATAATTTATTAACTTAATAGAACAAGTTTTAGTTATAGATACTAAATTTGTTTTTTAAAAATTTTTTAAATATTTTCTTCCTCTCACTCATATAGTATTTTTATAGTATTAGATTGAAAATTTTTATAATATTAAAAACGTTTCATTTAAAAAAAAAAATAATAATAATAAAAGAAAAGATACGACATATTTCGTTATTTTCCTTAATGCATTAATGCTATCAATTGTTAAATATTTCAACGCATTAAAGCACATTTGGAAATTTAAAGTTCCCCCAGCTCTTATTCATTAAATCACAATTGACTCTTATAAGGGTGGTAAGTATATCTATAGTACAAACTATAAAGTATATTGAAAACAGTATCACAAATTTATATAATAAATTATCATTCCGTTCATGAATTAATATGATATAAAATTATTGCAAAACTTCTTATATTTTT